TGCCTTGGGACTTTTCCATTTGGCGACGCATGCAGTTTGCGACTTTGCGCAGCAGACACATCTGACCACCACTGCAGCAGCAGCAGCAGCAGCAGCAAATCCGCAGCAGCAGCAGGAAGAAGTGACTGCAGAAGCAGCAGCAGACTGCAGCAGCTTCATAGAAGAGGCGCTGCCGCTCGTGCTGCTGCAGACCGCAGCAGCAGACGCTGCGGTTGCTGCAGCAGCGCTGCGCTGCTTGCTGCCGTTTGCTGCTGCGACTGCTGCCGCAGCACAACAGCAACAGCAGCAACAGCAACAGCAGCAACCTGTGCTGCCGCTGCTGCAGGATGCAGCAGTGAGGCAGCTGTTGGATGTCTTCTGGCTGGGGGCAGAAGCAAAAGTTGTGCATGCAGCAGCAGCAGTTATTGCTTTGCTGCTGCTGCCGGCTCCCGTTGCTGCGCGCTGCTGCTCTCCGTAAGTGCTGCTGCTGCTGCTCTAAGTCTTGCTGCTGCTGCTGCTTCAAATCTTGCTGCTGCTGCTGCTGCTAGTTCTGTTGTTGCTGCTGCTCGCAGCGCGCAGCTGCTCTTTGTTGCTGCTGTGAGCGCTGTGCCGCAGGGACAGCATCAGCAGCAGCAGCAGCAACAGCAGCAGCTTGGCTGACGTGCATGCGCTGTTAGACTTCTGCGTCGCTTACCTGCCCAAGACAGACCTCTTTAGCAGCAGCAGCAGCAGCAGCAGCAGCAGCGACGCCAGTGAATCCTGCCTGATGTACTCTCTTGCAGCAAATGTGGTGATTGGGTTTTGGGATTTGCTGCCTGCCGTTCGGAGAGTCGATTTGCTGCTGCAGCTGCTGCTGCAGCAGCAGCAGCAGCTGGGTGACGACGCGCTCAGCGAGCAGCAGCAAACGCTGCTTCTTTCTTTCTGCTGCGCTGCTATGAAGAAGCTAAACTGGAATAGCGGTCTGTGGGGCTGCAGCAGCAGCATCAGCAGCAGCAGCAGCAGCAGCGAGGGCGCAGGGCCCCACCATCAGCAGCAACACAGCAGCAGCAGCAGCAGCTGCTGCTGCGCTGCGCAGCTGCAGCTCTGCTGCACCACGCACAAGTCATCTCTCTGCGACCGTGTTGCAGCAGCTTCGTGGAGTTTGTTGCTGCAGCAGCAGCAGCATCAGCAGCAGCACGAGCAGCAGCAGCAGCAGCACCTGCGGCGGCTGGCA